TGTTGGGATGGATTATATCTTCACCCCATCTTGCAAAATTGGGATTGATATGATTGCAGCTGTATTGCTTAGTGGCCAAGATAGCCCAATAGTTTTTTTATTTGTGTAACCTTACTCTATACAAATAGGAATGGACCAAAGGTGAAGCACTTGCTAGACTCACATTGCTGCTGCTAGCAATCTGGGCTTGCACTGCCACTGAAATCAATGTTCCTTCCAAAGATAGAAAGATTCAAGTTAAAATCAATGACAAATAGAGAAAAGAAAAATAGTAGCTGAAGGTAAAGAAATTAAATGTCTTATGCAATAAGGGAAAGCCAACATTACATTGGTTCCTCAAGAAATGTTCAGAGCAAGAGAATAATATTGTCTCTTAGCACAATTATAATAGATGCTTGAGAGGCTGAAGTTCTATGTTTGCTGAGACTATCTCCACTTTTGGTACTCGACAAGGTCAAATGGAAGTCTGCAAACATGAGTGGCATCACACTGGAAAACATTCTGTTCATGCGTTATGATGATAAACAGGACCAATTGTTGATGGAATCCTAGTAACATGCCAGTATTTTTTTTATTATTATTTTTCACATTGTTGTTGTTGTTAGTTGCCATTGAGTCGGTTCTGATTCATAGTGATTTTTCACATTACATCTGCTATAAAGGATACCATTTGGGAAATAACTTTTCAGGAATTACTCCTTGCCAGATCATCAAACCATGCAGTATAAACTTTTGGCAGACTGATCTCTGTGTAACTGTAGTCCTTGATAACCAAATACTTAGAAAGTTTCCTGTCTATTATGGACAGAATATAGCATCTGAATGCCATAATGCCACAGTGTGCTGTGTATAAGTACACGTCACCTTTGTTTCTGTGGGTGGAAGTTATTAAATAAAATAGAAACAATGGGTTTCTGATCAGAGTAAGGCAGTAGGCATCACATGGTTGGCTCAAATCTCCACTGGAAATGACCCGACCTTGAGACAAGGAAGGCTAGAGGAGGCCTTTATGGCATATTCAGAGTAAATTACATCTAGGTGTGACTACTACCCATCTCACCTTAGTACGGGGGACCCAACATTTTTTGGGTACACAAAATGTATGCTAATTGCACTCGGGCCTTCATTATACAATGGCAGCAACATGCCTGGCAGATTAGACATTGGCCCACAAGTCAGAAGAGAGCTTTAAGAGATATAGGTGCCAGTTCAGGCATTGTAAGACAAACTGAATTTGTTTTTAATGAGTGGTATTCAGAAGAAAAAGATTTGTTAGCTAGAATAGACCAATTAGAAGGAATACTTTTCCAGGAGGAAGGAAAAGATGGGAATCAGTCTGGAAAGATAGAATTGAGTCAGGTAGACTCAATGAATAATGCTGGACAATGCTAGGACTCAGTGTTGGGAAAGGGCTTGTATCCTGACCCAACAGTGTCTCTTGACTATTTAAAAACAGATGTAGGTCAAAGAGGCAATGACCCTTCATCCTAGGGCACACTCTGAAAATCTTATGGACCCCCAAACTTATGGAAGTTTTTGGACACAACTGTAATTTGCATTAATGCACTCTGCCTGACTTCAAGAATGCCTGACCCAAGAATGGATATTACAGTAAGACATACTCTGTAGTGCAGTTAGCAAGAATAGGAACCATCTGAATTAAACCCTTGTACTCCCCATAGGGGAAACTCTAGTGGAGTAGTAATTAAGAGCTATGGCTGCTAACCAAAATGTTGACAGTTCAAATCCACCAGGCGCTCCTTGGAAACCCTATGGGGAAGTTCTACTCTGTCCTATAGAGTCACTATGAGTCAGAATCGACTCAACAGCAATGGGTTTGGTTTTTGTTTTTTTGTTTTTTTTTTTTTTGGTACTCCTCATAGGAGGGAAACAGGCCCTGCTATATAACAGCACACAATGGAAACAGTCTCAGTATAATCATGTGTACTGAGTGAGACAAGATGACTGGCTTTGTCTCCACCTGACTTAGAACTTGGAAATAGCCAAATCCTGGCCAATTGTGGCAATGCATATCCATAATATCTACTCTATGGGAAAGAGCTAATTCTGTTGAGAAGGTATAATAAATAGTTCTCTAAGTCTTACTGACTTATTGTGCAATGAAACTGAATTGTACCATAACCATAATGTGATATGATGTAACACTGGCATTGCTGGTTTTATCTTATGTAAATAAGCCATATGATAATACAGATATTAATAATCAAATGTATTGGGAATTAACACCTCCTCAGGATGTGATATCAATGGAAAATGACTGGCCTGAGGTTGAACTAGATCTAATTAACTATCACCTAATTAATATGCAAAATAGTTCTGCACAAGTTTATTAAAAAGTAAAAATAGCTGTAGACAAACTGGAAACAAATAATTCAAAGATATGAAGATATATGCAATGGCTTTATAAGATGGATTAGTTGCTTCTTCATGTATCCCTGCCCTATACTGGCTCCTCCAAATGCTGGACATACACTGATATTATTACTATATCTGTTATACAAATGCTATACTAAATACAGATGCTCAGAAAAATATGATCATTTTCCTGTAACAGAGTCTGGACCAAGGACCAGGAGGGTGGACTGTGCAGGAAAGAGTTGACTCAGCAAGTCTGAGTTGCTCAAACCCTACACATTCCCAGAGGGGTCTGTTTTCATGAATGGCCCTTGTCTGGTTCCTGGGAATTGGGTTCTTAGAATGTTCTGACTGATAAAGAGTGTTTTGTATGCTCAAAGCTTTGAACCATACTGTACCAGTTTGTCTAGACACTCTGCATAAACAACGTGATTTATGGTGAATACCTGCTTTCCTTCTGGTGGTCTGGAGTTTCAGTAACTGTGATAAATGATACAGGTAATGTGTTCCTATGTGACCAAACCCTAATAAAAACCTTGGACTCTTAGTCTCAAGAATGCTTCTCTGGTAGACAGCACTTCACCCATGGTACTACAATTTGCAGCTAGAGGAATTAAGAGCATCCTGTGCAACTCCACTGGGAGAGGCTTCTTGGAAGCTTGCAACTGGTTTTCTCCAGACTTTGCCCCATGTGTCTTTTCCCTTTGCTGATTTTGCTTTGTATCCTTTTGTTGTAATAAAACATGACAGTGAATATAATGACTGTGAATCCTGGGGTGGCCTAGGGTACCTCTGACACAGATACACTAGAAAATATCTAATTAATGGAAAAGAAGGCAGTAATGGAGGAACAGAGGAACAAAAAGGCATAAGACATAGAAAACAAATAGCAAAATGGCAGATAAAAATCCTACCTCAGCAATGATTACATTAAATGTAAATGGAAGAATAACAGCAGACGTCTCATCAAAGCAATTTAAAAAAAGAAGACAGGGGAGCAAAGCTTTAAAGTACTGAAAGAAAAATAGCTGCCAACCTAGAATTCTATACCAGTGAAATATCTTTCAAGAGTGAAGGCGAAATAAAGACTTTTCCAGACACACAAAAGCTGAAAGAATTCATCAGTAGGAGAACTACAATACAAGAAATATTAAACAAAGTCCTTCAGGCAGAAGGAAAATAATGCAAAATGAAAATCTGGATCTACACAAAGAAATGGAAAACACCAAAAATGTTAAGTATGCGGGTAAATAAAAAATACATTTTTTTCTTATCCCTTTTTACATCTCTTTAAGAAACAACTTTTGAAAGCAAAAATAACAATGTATTGTGGGGTTTATAATGTGTAGAAGTAAAATGTATGACAATAATAGCACAAAGGCTGGGGAGGGGAACATGAAAATATATTGTTTAAGTTCTTATATCATATGTGGACTGTGATAAGTTAAAGATGTATACTATAGACACTAAAGACACAACTAAAAAAAACAAAGCATTATATCTAATAAGACAACAAATGAAATAAGATGGAATCATAGATAATAATTCAAAAGAAGGTAGAAAGAGAAGAAAAACTGAAAAAAGAACAAATGGGACAAATAGGAAGATAATAGATTTAATTCCAATCATATCAATAATCACATTCAATGAAAATGGTCTAAACATCCCAGTTAAAAGTCAGAGGCTGTCAAAATGGATTAAAAAGAAAGCAAGAGTTTAAGTATGAAACACAAATAGGTTAAAGTTAAAAGGAGGGAAAAAGATATGTCATGCTAACACTATTCAAAAGAAATCTAGAATGTCTATATTAATATCAGACAAACTAGATGTCAGAGCAAATAATATGATCAGGGATAAAAGGTGACATTTCATAATGATAAAAGGTCAATCCACCATGAAGATACAATAATCCTAAAAGTTTATGCACCTAAAAATAGAGCTCCAAAGTTCATGAAGCAAAAACTGATAGAACTGAAAGGAAAAACAGACAAATCTGCAATTTTAGTCAGAGATTTCAACACCTCTCTTTCAATAACTGGTAGAACAAGGAGACAGAAAATCAGTAAGGAAATAGAAGATCTTAATAACTTGATCTAACTGACATTTCTAGAACATTCTACCCAACAACAGCAGCATACACGTACTTTTCAAGTGCATACAGAATACTTAACAAGAGAGACCATATTTTGGGACATAAAGCAAGTTTCAATAAATTTAAAAGGATTCAAATCATACAAAGTATATTCTCTGATCACAATGGAATTAAATTAGGAATCAATAACAGAAGTCTGAAAAATCCTATAAATATTTGGAAGTTAAATAACATTTACAATTAACTCTGGATCAAAGAAGAAATCAAAAGGGAAATATATGAGAAAGTATTTGACCTGAAAGAAAAACACAACATATCAAAATTTGTGGGATACAACTAAATCAGTGTTTGTAGAGAAATTTATATCACTAAATGCTTATATTAGAAATGAAGAAATGTTTGAAATCAAAGTGTGGTCCCCAAACCAGAAACATCAGCATCACCTGGAAACGTACTAGAAATGCAAATCCTCAGGCCCTACCCCAGACTTGCTGACTCAGAAACTTGCGTTATGGCCCAGCAATCTGTGGCCCTCCAGGTGATTGTGATGCATACTCAATTTGAGAATCACTGCTATATGCTATTCGAGTGTCATTTTTCTTGTTAGGGTTTCTTTCTTCAATAATCATTCATTAAAAACAATCTTGTTTTGAAAAGTCTGTTAATCTTATGTCAAGTTTAGTAAATTTCCCAGGTCCAAAGAATCTTGCAGATGATTAGCCCTATAAATAATGCCTCATTTGCTAAAAAGACTCAAATTTCAAAAGATGTAGTTACAATTTTTCTTGAAATCTGAAGGAGGGTAGAGGACAAACATCAGTGGGGAATATGACCCCAGTGAATAATTCCTACTGTACCTGCTAGGTCATCCATGTGGAATCAAATGTAATCAACTACCAATCATGTTCCCTGATGAAAAGGAACAGAGACATGTTAAATATAACCTGGCTGATGATATAAAAATAAATTGCTTGAAATGTGGTTATATGTACATTTGAATATGAACGTTTCTGATGTTCTGGAAAGTCACTTCAAACAAAGTCCTAACATAAGAACTAACTCACAACAGCGGTATCACCTTTCCAATTAATTCAATGCATTGATCTAAAGTAGATCTGGTCTCTATTTAATTTTGCAGCTCACATCTTTACTGGGACAAACGGATAAATAGTTTGGCTTTAATGGGCTCTAGTTATAGCTTCTGCAAATCAGGAGCAGACAAAATCCATATTGCATCAAAACAATTAACTGACAAGTATAGATGACAATTTCAATAATAACTTGAAAGTAACATTTGCAGTGGAAGAATTTTAATATGATAGAATATGAAGAACTAATCTATCAGTTAATCTCAGTTTGATTATATGACAGACTTCAAAAATAAAGGGAAAAATTTAGCAAAATTCTCCAAGTATTCCTAGGTTCCAAAGGGAAAATGTAGCCCATTCTACACAGGCTTCCTTCCTCTCCCCCAACCTGTGCTCACTTTCATCAAGCTTTGGTTCTTTCTGAGATATTACCTTCTGCTCTAAAAGAACAGAGGCCCACAACAGCTGCCTCTGGGGCCATGAGAATATAATCAACCAAGTAATCAACGAACCACCACTGTTAAAATGTTTTAATATCAAAGTAAAACAAGATTGGGGTTTTATAAGCAGGTTTCAGAACACAAACATTGATTTCTAAAATGGTTTCTCTCCCTTTCAGAAGTCTAAATATGAACACATAAATGTTAGGGATTTTCTTTTAAAACATGATTTTTTTTCCATTTTAATATATATACAGTTGACAAATATGCAAAATAACTAACTTCCAAATAAAGGTTTCTAGTAGAAATATCGAAATTAAAAAAAAAACTTACTATCCATAAAACCCAGAAACAAACCACCCTTTTCCCCCACACCTCAGAAAATCAACCAATTCTCTTCTAGAGGATTGATGACATTAATAGTACTTAGCTCTCCCTTATCAGCATCCTGACATCCCTGGTTCAGTCTGTGTTACAGTTTCAGTTGCTGAAAATGCCCCACCATCTTCTATACGGCAGTATAGCCTGGCAAGGCACTGTTTGGGAAATGAGCCATGAAGAACATAATGCCTGACTGAAGAGTCAACCATACATCCTGGGTCTGCCAATTGCATTAGAACAGTAATGGAAATGTAAAATTCCAGGAGGCATTCTTTTTTCTCCTCTCCAAGTTACCAGCATGTACAGTACCGGGAAGCAAACAGTAGAGGGAGGTGACAAGAGCCACATACATGTAATCTCTCTAGAGCTAAAAGCAAAATGCAAACTATAGTGGGCCAAAGAACTGACTCTCATTTGGGTTTTATATGTGGCTGCAAGCCACCTCCAAACCGAGCAGTTCACAGATTAGGGAACAGTTTCAATGCACTGAGGGTCTAGCAATTTGCATAAGCATATTATTAAAATTTCCATCTTTTCTAAGAGTTGTATGTACCACATTACTGAATTTAGTGCCAACCAAATAAAATAAACCTCATATAGTTCCTTTTTACTATACCTATTTCCAAAATTAAAAAGCATCTCTAACACAATTTTCTTTACCATTCCTCAGTAAATTAGTAAAACAAGTAGAAACTCAAAACATAACTATAATATTATACAAGATGATTCATTTTTCTTCAATAACTTAGTCTGTTCCAAAGTATTTCTGTCCAAAATGTGTAGGTGCAACAGGATGAACTTCAGTAGTTAAAATTGTGATCTCTGGAAACTCCTGAATGATTGATTTGGCACCTTCAAAAGATAAAAGGAAAATTGTTGTTATGCCAGGATTTTTTGGTAACAGTAGTCAGAATTCAGGAATTTTACAATCAGTCACTAGGTCTAATATTGGCAAAGGACAGAGAGCAATGACCTTTGGATACCTAATCAGACTCAGTTAATCTCTACTTAGTTTATATAATGTTTGATATCTGAAAAACTTTGATAGCAGTCAGACTATACTCCCACCTACTAACTAATAATTCTTAGAATCAAATTGTTTCATTTTCAAGATTTGAAAAATGTAGTTATTCAGTTATAGCAACTTTTTCTCTGAAGAGTTTTTGTTTTGTTTTGTTTTGTTTTAAAGGTAGCTGAAATGAGAGAATACAATCCTTTCTGGAAACAGGATCCTAGATGAGATGATTAGTTTCCCAACTGGAACACTATGTAACAAGTACACGACTTCTTTGGTGTGTCAGAGCAAGCTAGCTTTTTAGAACTTACGACTCTAGCTTTGAGGAAATGGATGAGAAGAACAAGTGAACTAGGACTGGCTAGGTGCAAATGGTTAATGTGTTTGGCTGCTAACTGAAAGGAGCCTGAAAAGAAAGGCCTGGCAATCTATTTCCGAAAAATCAGTCATTGAAAACTCTATGGAGCAGAGCTGTACTCTGACACACGTGGGGTCGCCATGAGTTGGAATCGACACGACAGCAACTGAGAGGATTCCAGTCAAAATGAAAAGCCATAGCAAGAGTGCCACAGAATAAGATTTTTTCAGCTGTGATGTCAAAGAATAGTATACTAGTCTACTGCAGACAATTAGGACTAAAGGAAGACTTCTCATACTAACATTAAAGAGCTTACTTTTCTACTCCCAAAGGCAGAAAGCACTATAATTATTTGCTTATTTTAATGTTTTCAGTGCTACCTGCATTAGTATACAAGGATGACTAGGCAAACCACATTTGAAACACAGGCAATTTTTGGTTATGACATACGAAAGTAATCAAACAGGCCTAAATTCCTACACAAAGGCCTACTAAAGGCAGCCTGCTCAACAAGATACTCTAGAGCCTCTTCAGGGTTGGCTGAGACTTAAAACCTTTGGAAATGAAGAAACATCTTGGCTAATAGCTATGTATTTCTCTTTATGTTCAATTATGAGACAAATAGAAATTCATTGTAGAACATTTAGAAAATACAAAAAAAGCTTAAAAATAAAGTGAAAATCACCTGGAATCCCACTATCCTGAGATAATCACTATTAATACTGTGTTTGCATTTAAAACCGAAATTGAAATAATACTGTACATTTGTCTAGCCTCTCATCCTGAGAAAAGATTGATTTGGTTCCATGTTAAATCCAAGTCTGATTTGGTTAGTCATTTATTGTATTTGTCATAATTTGTTAGGGTAGTTCAAGTCAAATCATAGTCATAATTTGTATTTGTCACCTCTAAGCTTGGTGATCTTTCATTTGACGATGTGGAAAAATTCAAAATGAGAAGAAATAGCTGCAAACATCCATTAATAATAGGAATGTGGAATGTACAAAGTACGAATCTAGGAAAATTAGAAATCGTCAAAAATGAAATGGAATGCATAAACATCAATATACTAGGCATTACTGAGCTGAAATGGATTGGTATTGGCCATTTTGAATGCTAAACATTCCACAAGAAACCTACTGGAACTAATAGAAAGATTCAGCAGAGTAGCAGGATGCAAGATCAGCATACAAAAATCAGCTGGATTGCTAAACACAAAGAGAACTACAAAAAGGAAATCAGGAAAACAATAGCATTTATAATAGCACCTAATAAAATAAAATACTTAGGAATAAATCTAACCAGGGATGTAAGAGACCTATACAAAGAAAACTACAAAACACTACTGCAAAAAACCAAAAAAGACCTACATAAATGAAAAAACATACCATGCTCATGGATAGGAAGAATCAACATTGTAAAAATGTCAATCCTACCCACAAAGCGATCTACAGAAAGGATGAAATCCCGATTCAAATACCACCAGCATTCTTTAACGAGATGGAAAAACTACTCATAAACATTATATGGAAAAGAAAGAGACCCCAGATAAGTAAAGCATTACTGAAGAACAAAGTAGCAGGCCTCACACTACCTGATCTCAGAACCTACTATATACCCACGGTAGACAAAACAGCCTGGTACTCATACAATGACAGACACATAGACCGATGGAACGGAATTGAGAACCCAGATGTAAATCTATCTACCCGCGGTCAGCTTATCTTTCAGAAAGGCCAGAAGTCCATTAAATGGGGAAAAGCAAGTCTCTTCAAAAAATGGTGCTGGCAAAACTAGATGACATCTGTAAAAAAATGAAACAGGACTCATACCTCACACCATACACAAATACTAATTCAAGATGGCTCAAAGACCTAAATATAAAACCTAAAATTATAAAGATGATGAAAGAAAAAGTAGGGACAATGCTTATTGTTGTTGTTTGGTGCCGTCGAGTCAGTTCCGATTCACAGCGACCCTATTCACAACAGAAGGAAACGCTGCCTGGTCCTGCGCCATCCTCACAATCGTTGTTATGCTTGAGCCCACTGTTGCAGCCACTGTGTCAATCCATCTCCTTGAGGGTCTTCCTCTTCTTCGATGACCATCTACTTTACCAAGCATGATGTCCTTCTCCAGGGACTGATCCCTCCTGATAACATGTACAAAGTACATAAGACGAAGTCTCACCATCCTTGCTTCCAAGGTACTTCTTCCAAGACAGATTTGTTTCTTCTTTTGACAGTCCATGGTATATTCAATATTCTTTGCCAACACTACAATTCAAACGCATCAATTCTTCTTCGGTTATTCATTATCCAGCTTTCTCACGCATATGAGGTGATGGAAAACACCATGGCTTGGGTCAGACGCACCTTAGTCCTCAAGGTGACATCCTTGCTTTTTTTTAATTGTACTTTAGGTGAAGGTTTACAGAACAAATACTTTATCATTATAACAGTCACTACATATATTGTTTTATGACATTGGTTAACAACACGCCACGTCAACCCTCACCCATCTCGACTTCTTTTGTTTTTTTGGTGAAAATATACATAGCCAAAGATACACCATTTCAAAAATTTCTACATGTACAGTTCAGTGACATTGATTATGTTCTTCCAGTTGTGCTGCTATTCTCACTTTAGATGAAGGTTTATAGAACAAAATAGTTTCTCATTAAACAGTTAGTACACATGTTGCCCTATGACAAGGGTTAACAACCCCACTCTACATGTCTACACTGTCCTTACTCAACCCATGGTTCCCTATCACCAGCTTTCCTGTCCCCTTCTGCCTTCTAGTCTTTGCCCCAGGGCTGCTGTGCCTCTTTAGTCATGTTTTGTTCTATGGGGCTGTCCAATCCCCGGCTGAACGGTGAACCTCGGAAGTGACTTCACCACTGAGCTAGAAGGGTGTCGGGGCCATACTCTTGGGGATTCTCCAGTTTCTTTCAGGCCAGTAAATCTGGTCTTTTTTTGTGTGTTAGAATTTTTTTCTACATCCTTCTCCAGCTCTGTCTGGAACCTGCTGTTGTGATTCCGGTCAGAGCAGTCAGTGGTGGTAGCCAGGCACCATCCAGCTGTATTGGACTCAGACTGCTGGAGGCCTTGGTAGCTGTGGTTGGTTAGTCCTTTGGACTAATCTTTTCCTTGTGTCCTGTTCTCTTCATTCTCCCTTGCTCCTGAAGGGATGAGACCAGTGGAGTATCTTAGATGGCCACTCACAGGTTTTGAAGACCCAAGACGCTACTCACCGAGGTAGAATATAGAACATTGTCTTTATAAACTGTGTTAGGCCAATTGAGCTAGATGTTCCCTGAGACCATGGTCTCCACAACTCTCCACCCAGCAATTCAGTCCCTCAGGGAGTCTGGGTATGTCTATGGAGCTTCCATGACCTTTCCTTTTACAAGTTGTGCTGGTTTCCCCAGTATTGTGCACTGTCTCATCCTTCACCAAAGATACCACTTATCTATTGCCTATTTAGTATTCCCCCCCGACCCCTCACATCCCTCCTAACCAACAAAGATTGTTACTTTTTGTGTATACCTTTTTCATGAGTTTTTACAATACAGGTCTCATACAATATTTGTCCTTTTGTGACTGACTTATTTCACTCAGCATAATGTCCTCCAGTTTCATCCATGTTATGAGATGCTTCACAGATTCATCATTGTTCTTTCTCGTTGCA